TGGTGTGATAGACCCCAGCCTCTATGGATCTTGCACTCAGAGCTTGTTCCTGTGCTGCCATGATTTATGTCTGTGTGCTGTCTTTCAGTCCAGTCACTGGTAGGACTTTGGCATGTCACTAACTTTCTCTATCTGCAAGTGGTATGTACTGTGCAGGGGCCTGACCTTCCATGATGGTTCCTCCTCTTTCTTGGGTTTCTGCTGCCTGAGGTATTTACTAAAAATGCACAGTCTCATCCTGGACTGTGGTGCTGACACTCACTAGTCCCTGGCCACCTTCCCTCCACTTAGCATACAGCCTCAGGGTGCTGGACTTAGGGTGAAACCCTTGATGCATGGTTAGGAGCTTCCTTGTCTTGATGTCAGTGGCTTCTATCTCCTACTTTGACCAGTTTATTATTCCAGCAGGGTACCAGATCACGGGCAGGTCGTAGGTGTTGATAGCCCGGATCTTGTTCTTACCGTTCAGCTGTCTTCTCAGTACTTGCCTGACCCTCTGCAGGTACTTGGTGGTTGCAGCTTTCCTAGAGGCCTCTTTATGGTTCTCATTTGCCTGTGGGATCCCCAGGTATTTGTAGCTGTCTTCTATGTCTGCAATGTTGCCTTCTGGTAGTGCAATTCCGATGTCATTGCTGTATATCCTGGTGGTGGGTGTAGCAGTGAATCGATTGCTACAAAGGTTTGCCAAGCTTGGCAATAGGCCTTCTTGTAATCAATCCAGGCGCACAGGTTGGTCAGCTTAGTCTTTCAGTCTCGGCTGACTGCTCGGTCTACCAGTAGCTGGTGTTTTGCTCCTGTGGTATTCTTGCCAATTCCTTTCTGTGCCCCACCATGTGCCTTTTCATCTTAGCTGCTATAATGCCTAAAAGGAGTTTCCACGTGGTACTGAGGCAGGTTATTGGTCGGTAGTTGGATGGGATATTTATATATGTACGTATGTATATGTATATTTGGGCCACTTTAGTTCCATGGTAGCCTTCATACCTTTTAAATAGTGATGATGATGGTTATAAAGAGATGAGGCAAAAAAAGAAGTACACTCTGCAGCAAAGTCATTCTAGCTTTTGTTCAGAGAGCACACACCTTCGTCATCGCTTACATCGGCATAAATCCTTATTTTATTGTTCGTTTCATCCTGTGTGCCCAAAGGCTGACACCACCTTAACAGTCACACCTCTTCTGTCCTCGCAGTGCGGCGATGATGATGACGGCAGAGAAGCTGCCAAGAAAACCTGCCATGTGTGTTTGTTTGTGGGTGTCTGTTCCTGCATGTGTGAACATCCAGTTAATTCAGCGTGCTCTTAAGCGCCACTTCAGGAGTGTGACACAGGTCACATGGCATACGCAGTCTCTCTTACTCACACGCACGCACGCACGCACGCACGCACGCACGCACGCACACGCACACACACACACAGACACACACACACACACACACAGCACACACACACACACACTGCATTAAACTCTACAAATGACACATAACATTCAACACAGTACCGTTTAGCTCACATCCTGCTTCATGCTCTGTGCAACACAAGTTATTAACAAACCCTTTGCTTAGATTCATGCTGCTACTAAGAATTGTCACATTCTGCACGAAGAGGACAGGAGGCTCTTTTCTCTTAAATGTGAGATTTAGTAACACAACGCCACATACTGCTCACTGTGATTCTTCTCACACACTCACTGCATGGTCAAAAGTATTGGATCCCTCTTTGAGTTCATGTGTTTTCAGTTGATTTGCGACAGGCGTCTAAAATCAAGCATCTATCCATGCAGCCTGTCTTTACACATAGTTGTGAAAGAACAGATCATTTTAAAGTCTGTGCCTTTTTCCAGAGAATTAAATCTTTGCATGGGTCATTTAAAACAAAAAATTAGCCCCCTTTCAGCTGCATTAGAGGCACTGGTATGTAACTTGCATTACATTTTGTGCAATTACAGAAATAATCACAAAAAGTCGGAAGATGCTTTTGGAAGAAATGGAAGAAATGACATATGATGATGTCCTGTACCTGATTTTTGTGTTAACTGTTAGTCACAAGATAAACCAGTAAAAATGCATGTGCAGGGAAATGAAAACTGCCTTAGATATTATACCGTTGAGCTTAGAATAAGCAGGAGAGTATGGTTTTGTGTGTGTAGAGTTTGCAATGTCCGCTGTGTGGGTTTTCTCTGATGTCCCACCACTGAAAACCTGCTACATTAATGTTTTATATATCGACGCTGCACACTCTTAACATCACTAGTTTCACTTCCTTATTTCCTTTGTTTTTTCTTACCGGAATAATGGCTAGATTTCTTCTTGCAACTAACTCCTTGTGGTAACAGTGGGTACCCTGAGAGGTTAGCTCCTCATGTTGCCAAAGCAAGTGAAATTCAGTTGTACTGAAATCACTTACCGGATCTGTGACCGCAGTCAGCCTTTGCCTGATCAGTTTATGGTCTTGTTGATAGTTTCAAGTCTTACCAAATACAACATGGTGTTGGTTTTATAAATCATGGTCCTACTTGAAGTTCTTTTTAACTAGTTGCTGCTATTTGAGTGTGGGTTGTTTGTCATTCAGTTCTGTCCTTTGCTCATCAAGATTTTGAAGGCTAGATTAAAGACGGTACAAAAAAAACACAATTTACTGAATAACTGTTAGTTATGTAAGTTCTACTTGTGTTATCAAATTGTAATTTTCATCAGTGAATTGTCCTTTTTTAAGCTCTGCTTAGGACTGATTTTCAAAGACACCAGTCTGAGGGTAAAGACTGTAGTTGGAGTTGGGTCGTGGTGTTTCCCGCTCTCTTGTCCGATTCAGCTCCGCCCAAAGAGGAAGTTTTCTGGTGAGCGGTTGAGATGTACCTAATTCCAGTCTGCGACTTTGGTTTTTCAAACGTAGATGTTTTTTTATATACCGTATGACATTGCCAGACTCCTCCGTCTTTATCATTTGCATTCTGACATGCCCAGTTGTTTCACTTCCTCCTGAGTGTACAGTAAACCCCTTGAGGAAGCTGGGTTTATGGGTGTGTCTGGGGGGGATACAACAGCGGTGACATGCAAACAGACAATGTGCTGCCTGACCACGCATGCATGTCAGTTAAACTGTGCATTGTAGCATTAGAAGATACCCACTCACAATTAATTTTTTGGTAATTATTTCAATTATGCATGTATGTGTTCATACATGTTCCTGTTGGAGTCTGTTTTGGTTAATTGGGAGTGGGTTGAAATGTAGAAAACCACACAGACACACACATTTCTTTGTGCG